GTGGTTGCACACACATTGCACTATGGGTGCGGGGACGTACATGTGCTTATGACACGTGGTGACAAAAAGGTTAGCCATCACTGCCCTAAGACATTAATACAGCACTTCAAAAACCTCGGTGTGCAATGAAAAAGAGTAAATGGTAGTTATTATTATGTACGAGGGTGGCACTATACTCCAAATATATAACTAGTTTCCAGCAATGTTCTGAATGTACATTAAAAACAATAGAACTCTCTAGACAACATGAGTCAGCATTGGAAATTATGGACCACATACAGCTCTGGGCTCTCTCTGGATAGCCTGATAAAGATCTCAGCTTCTTGGCCTTTGCCCACTTTTTATCAGTTGAGCACTGGAGAAACCTGCTGTGTGCTCAGCTGTGTTCTTAATCAAAATCAGTAATGGGAATGGGGAAAATTTCTGAGTTGGGGATATTGCACATTAGACAAAGGCTTTAAGGCAAGCATTACCTTATAATAATAGCAATAGCAATAGCACTTAGACTTATATACTGCTTCACAGTGCTTTTACAGCCCTCTCTAAACGGTTTACAGAGTCATCATGTTGCCCCAACAATTTGGGTCCTCATTTTACGCACCTTGGAAGGATGGAAGGCTGAATCAACCCCCAGCTGATCAGGATCGAACTCCTTGCATTACTGCATTACTGCATTTATAACCACTGCACCACCATGGCTCAATAATGACTGCATCAAGAGAAACAAAATCTAAAATTAATCCATCCGGATAATTTAGATGAAGCTCCCTTAGGTAGCTTATGTACATGTCTGGAGTCAGGGATAAACCTTGGATTTCTGCCCTTGCATAAAGCATTTAATAACAGCTTATAAAACTGTTGTTCTAGTACTTGATTTCATGAGGATCCAAGAGTTCCAGGATTCCAGACATGACATCTATTTCTGGTGTCCTGCATTGGTTAATTGTATATTTTACCTTGCAAAAACCTATGCACACTTAAAATCCTGGTGTCACTGGGTGAATATAGAAACTGCCTTCATAATATGATTAATATTTTGCCTTTAAATTGCAAAACAGGACAGCTTGACCCTGAATGCCTATCATTTATTAAACTTTCATTAAGATTGCTTTAGCCTTCTCTGTTGCTGTTAATAAAATATAGAGATTAACATGATAATTAAAATTGCCTCTCATAGGATGCAATGGATTTACCAATCAATCACATTTCTAGCTTTCAACTGCAAATCCAAGCTTCAACTGATATAAACAATGTAAATCAGGGAAGAGGAAAATCAACTTCAGATTTCTAACCTCATTTTTGTTTGGAATCAGTATTATCTACCTGCAGAAAACCAGGCAGAAACCTGTGTCACAGTTGGAAAACAAACCTCAGTGGAAAATTGCTCTGCTCAAAGAAAAGCTGAGAAGCAGACAGAGAGATAGTTTACCAGATGTATTTTATAGAGTGTAAAAGAGGGGGAACCAATTTAATTGTTATTATTGATAACAATTAGGCTCTCCCTATTTGAAATAATTAAAATCACTTATCTAGATTCTTATCATACTGTACAGAGGTTAGTTGCTGCCGGTTTGACCCGGATCGGGTGAACCATTAGTAACAGTGGGGGAAGGCTCCTCTCACCTGCCCAGACATTTCTGTGCATGCACAGTGTCGCACATAGGACCGCACCTGAACCGGTAGTAGAAAAATTGGCAACCCACCTCTGATACTGTATAAGCATTGGGTAGATTTGGGAAAGCAAAATGTTACTTGCTTTCTAGAGAAGGTTACAAATACATTTCTCAATGTATATTTTATTTGAAATAAATATGTTATTAATATTGAAAACTTCTTCTTATGTTCAATTTCCTACAAAAGAATTATTTTCTGAATATACCTATACATTCCAAGATTGCTGCAGTTGCTAAAAAAATCTAATTCAATTTACATTTTATCTGGAAAAAAATGCCTTCCTAAATATGGTTGATTTCATCACTGGAAAAATCCAAAAGAAAATGTGCAAACGTAATTTTCTGAGCAGATGTTTCGTAGTTTAGGTGTAGCAATTGGAAAGCTTAGTCTTGCAAATAATTAAACAAATAAAAATGGCATGGACATAATTATTGGTACCCCAATATAATGTTTTGTACCATACTCTTTTGATGCAATAACAGCAATCAAAGACTTTCTGTAGCTCTAAATATGACTTTTATACTTCTCAACAGCAATTTGTTCCACTCTGTAGCAGTTGACTTGAGGAATGCAGTGGCTCAGTGGCTAAGATGCTGAACTTGTCGATCAGAAGGTCAGCAGTTCAGCAGTTCGAATCCCTAGCACCGTGTAATGGAGTGTGCTCCCATTACTTCTTCCAGTTTCTGTCAACCTAGCAGTTTGAAAGCACGTAAATAATGTGAGTAGAAAAATAGAGACCACGTTGGTGGGAAGGAAATAGCGCTCCGTGCGCCTTTGGCATTTAGTCATGCCGGTCACATGACCACGGAGACGTCTTCGGAAGCGCTGGCTCTTCAGTTTAGAAATGGAGATGAATACCACCCCTAGAGCCAGAAACTACTAATATGTATGTGCAGGGGAACCTTTACTTTTACTGTAGTAGTTGACTTAGGTTTGATAGGTTCTTTCTCCTAATTGTGAGTTTGTCCCAACTGCGAGCTCTTTCTATAGATGTTCTATATTCTATGTTCTGTATTCAGGTCAGGACTCATAGCAGACCACTTCATTTATGACCTGTGACTGAGACAGAGCATTCTAACACTGGGCTTTATGTTAGAATACAATGGAATGGAGTGGAGTGGAGTGGAACGGAACAGAAGAGCAGAGTTAGAAGGGTCTTGGAGGTCTTCTAGTCCAACCCCCTGGCTAGACAGGAAACCCTATACCATTTCAGACAAATGGTTGTCCAATCTCTTCTTAAAAACTCCAGTGTTGGAGCATTCACAACTTCTGGAGGCAAGTTGTTCCACTGATTTATTGTTCTAACTGTCAGAAATGTAGTTCCAGAATGCCTTGATATGTTCTGATTTTATTTTGTCCTGCCTAGATTCAATGCATCTAGTATCAGAGACAAAAAACAGCATTATAACATTATAAAACCTTCTCAATTTTTCACAGTAGGACTGGTGCTCTTTTCTTTAAAAATATCTTTTTTCTTCTTCTGTGTTGCTGTTGCTTACCAAAAAGCTGTAATTTTGTTTCATCTGCTCCAAGGACATTCTCCCAGAAGGACTTGTGAACATGCAGTTTAGCAAACTCCAGTCTAGCTTTTTTTGTATCTGTCTTTCAGAAATAAGATCTTCTATGCTATGGAGGCCACTTTCAGAGGGTTAGAGCTGGATTGTGAGACTTCATATTGTTGTACTTTAATCTTGGAGCTCATCTGGAACAGATTTGAAAATCAAACTTGTCCCTGCATGTAAAGTGGGAAGAAAATGACACATTTCACTTTCCCCCTTGCTTTTCAGCAACTGGCCTTAATTTTTTTAATAACTTGTGCAGCTTTCTTTTCTCTTGTTTTCAGTTTTTTTTGAGACTTTGTTTCCACCAGAATAATTTTTTATTAAATAATGATAAAATGAATAGTGCATAAGATGAATATTTAACCAAGTGTTAAGTTTGGAAAACAAGAACAGAAACAGAAACAGTCATTCCAAATTCCTGAATATTTTGCATTCATGTACCTTCCTGTATACCAACTAAAATAACAATTTGGAAGAGGGAGACTAATACAAAAAATCCAGCTTGGAGTTTGTATTCCTAGAAAAATGGACTTCCATAATTCTTTTTCTATTTCTTAGCTCCTGAGGTAAAAATAAATAAATCTTTAAATCTTTACAAATGGAGATTAAACCTATAATATTCTTTAAGAGTTATATATAAGAGGTACCATATCAAGAAATGGGGATTTAATAAGTATACATACAAAGATGTCATTCATTATTTATTTCTATTCATTTGTTCATTACTTCATCATAAAGTAGTACAAAAAGAAGTCACACTGAAATACCACTTCAAGTATCACAATCAGAAAATGCATTTCTTTAGAAGTATAAGAATTCCTCAGAAATCAATGTGCCAGATACTTAAATCTATTAACTAGAGCAATTTTTAAAAATTTCCTCAGCCTTTTCTCCAAGTTCTTCCTGCAAGCTCTCAAGCCAGTACATTGTTCAAGATCATATGGCTGTGCATTACAGAAAACTGCTCGCCGCCAAAGGTATTTGCTAAATAAAATATCTTTTCTCCTCAGTCATCTGACAATTGTAGTTAAGTTGGATTCAGTTTAACTAAAAGTGTGCATCTTTCTCAAACTCAAATGTCTTAATATTATTTTTAAAAGATCACTTCCAAATGTTATATTATATAATTTATCAGTTTTGTCTAAAAAAAAAATTAAAACGAGTTCTATGTTATCTTGGACAAAATCTGTAATCTGTCCAATGCCCGCTTCCTAGGTAGTTTAGCCTAAGCTAAAGTTCAATGTTTAGCCTAAGCTAACTTAAAATTTCTGTTACTGTCCTTTAAGATACAAGTAGGCCTTGGCTTATGACGACAATTGAGCCCATGATTTCTGTTGCTAAGCAAGAGATATGTTAAGTGAATTTTGACCCATTTTACGACCTTTCTTGCCATAGTTACTAAGTAAATCATTGCATTTATTATGTTAGTAACATGGTTGTTAAGTGAGTTTGACTTCTGCATTGACTTTGTCAGAAAGTTACAGAAGGTGATCACGTGACCCTGAGACACTGCAACTGTTGGTTGTAAGTGTGAAAAACAGTCCTTTATTTAAGCAGTTTATCTACTGCCTCAGTTGTAGTTTTCTCTAGAAGGTAGGTATTCATAACATATAAAATAACTTCTAATTAATGATACAACTGCTACAGAGAGCCAGTTTGGTCTAGTGGTTATGGCACCAAGCTAAAAAGTAAGAGACAGTGAGTTTAAATCGCCACTGAGCCATGGAAACCAGCTGGATGACTGTGAGCAAGTCACTCTCTCTAAGACTAATCCACTCACAGAGTTGTGAGAAAAATAGGAAGGTCTGTTAAGGCAATAGCAATAGCAGTTAGACTTATATACCGCTTCATAGGGCTTTCAGCCCTCTCTAAGCGGTTTACAGAGTCAGCATATTGCCCCCAANGCCCACCAAGCTACACCCACCAAGCCACACCCACAGAACCGGTAGTAAGAATTTTTGAATCCCATCACTGACTTTATGCATTTGCTTGAGGAGGATGACATTCAGGATGTCAGATTTTCTTTTTCCAAGAACTTGTGAAAGACTAGGCCTAGATCTTCCACAAATGTTGATGTTCTGATTTCTGCTTGTTTTCTACTAGCTCAAGAAGATAGGATTGGAATGATAAGTACATTGTCATTCAGTCTAAGTCCTTGCAAAGAGCTGCCAGTAACTCAAATTAGTTAACTTAATTAAGTTATCTCTATCCTCGAGACTATTGGGATTATAGCTCACAGAATTCTAAGTCTTCCTCATTTTTATGCTGATAACTGATTTACTTATTATATTCTATGTGGTGTAAACTGATGTAACACCTAGTGGGTTTCTGACTCCCTTTTTCTTCACTGGACAACTTTAAATGCAGGGGTTGTAATTTTGATACCAAAAATATAATCACATCAGGACCTTCGTTTTGCATATGACAGCATCCTTTTTATGCCCATTTAGGAATGAATTTAAATACTGCTGGAGTTTTTCACAGGTGGCTATTTTATGACGTTCCCTTTAAATCTAGGCCAAGGCATACAACCAACTTTAAACTGTCTGATACTTTTGTGTGGAACTCTCCCCCTTATCCAAAAACTTTAACTGAGCACAGGAGAGAAGAGCAGTTTTAATTGTGGTTCCAAGCAAGGTAGCAGACAAAAAAGCCAACCCAGTACATTTCAGCTCATACATTTTGGCTCATCAGCCAAATGGTAGAGCCATGTTTTATTGTCATTTGTGTTGCATCAATCAAATCTGATTATTGCTGCGTTCAGATTTACAACAGGAAATTTATAACTTCAGATATGATTTATTCAAAATGTAATATGCCAAAGGAATCTATTTCAGTTTAGACTGCAGATACAGAGTAAATTAGTAATTACAAAACGGCAGTTGTAATCTCATAGTGGGTTTGGAATAAGGAAAATATTCTTGCTGAGAAAACTATTGATACTTTTTCCCCCTGCTAATTTATCACTGTCATTTCTCCCTTAAAGGTAACTTTATAGATGTGGTTGGTTTTAAAATGAAAGAGATTTTTTTTAAAAAAGCACATTTCAGTAACAAATAATTCCTATTACAAATAAGGAAGGCACAGAAGGATCCCAAGGCTACATAAAGCATTACATGCATCTAAATCACAAAACGCAATTCTCAGTTTCAAGGTTTTCAGGAGCATGAGTATAGACAGACTTATTTCTGGAAATCTGGAAACTACTGCAGCATACAGAACATTGACTAATAATCATGAATTAGATTATCATCTATTTTCTTTGCTCTTAATATTATGATAGTTTTCAGAGTAGTTGATAGCCTAACTTTTAACAGCAATCTATAAATGTAAAAGCCTTCTGCTAACATGGTGTTATTTATGCATGAACACTTTATCCTGCCCCCAGTCATATGACTTTGGTCCTTAACATAAAATCAGTATATAAACCGCCTCCCGAGAACACATTTTGACTTGCATTTAAAGTAGACAGAGACTGAAACTCACGGTGGAGATGTATGGCCAAAATAAATAAGTTCCCATCTTTGGCAGAGTTGATCTAAAATAGAGCAGTAATCAAAACCAATGCAATATATTCTGGGGGTCTCAGTTAAAATTCTGACAGATGTATTTTGTGCCAACTGCAATTTATAGATATTCTCCAAAGTTAGTGCATATGAAATCATTTTTATCCGGTATCAATTTATAGCGGGTAAAAAAGTACCCTTGAATATAGCCAATACATTGAAATTTTAGGAGCAAAGTTAGATCTATTATTAAATGATGCACTGGAGTAATAAATTCATACAGCGCAAACAGAGCTTATTTACATGTTGATAGGTGTAGGTTAATTTTATCTACCATTTCTAACTCGTTATTGTTCTAAGACCATGATGTCACCTATGTCAGCATTCCAAATATCATCCAGAATTAAATCAGAGTTCAAGACATAACTTTCATCAAAGTTCCAATTTAATAAAACAGACATGATGGCACATCTGTGGAAACCCGAATCTGAAGCTTCCTGGGTTTTCACCCAGTTGAAAGTTCATGAACTTGTCCCCACACCCACAAGTCCATCACATGGTCCAATCTTC